AGCACCTTCTTGGCAGGTTTCCACAAAAGCCCCTTGGGATGATCCCTGCACACGCTCCCACCCTCCTGCTCAGGCTGTACTGGGCCTCAGACCCCACACCCATTTAAAACCAGGCAGCAGGTGCATTACCTCTGGGTGGTGAGGACAGGGCGCCACTACCCCTGCCCCAGCATGGACAGGCTCTGCCTTTGCCCTCAAGGCATGTAGGTGATGAGCCCATCCTTCAGGTTCCCCAGGGGAACATGGGTGTCTTCCAGGCAAGTTCACAGGCCAGCAAGGAAACCCTGGAGAAATGGGTTGTGGTGCCAAACTTCCAAGAACCTTATCTACAGGTTTAGAAATCTTACCGATTTCTAAAAACACCTTGGGAGTACTGGTGCAGGAAGACAATATTTTTAAGAAGTCACCTGCCCCACCTCCTCAGTGGCACTGTGGATGTCAGCGCAAGCTGCAGAGATTGCGAAGCAGCCAGGGGAGGCTGGCACCATCCTGGCCAAAGAGATCTTCAGGTGTAAGGGAATGGAAGATTTGTGTATGTCTGTATATATAATGTGCAACTAATTGGTCAGAAATCAACAATTTTGTCCATCACTCCTGCAAACATTCACTGCTATTTAAAAAAGTTACGGGATAACAGTGAAAGAAAGGGAGTAAAAGTTTACCTGTTCCTGGTACTTTCCAAAATTAAGTACCTACATAAAAGGACCAATATGGTTTCAAATGGACATGTATACAAGCTATCCTTGCAATACAGTTTAGCTAAAAAGGACTTGAAAATACAGGTAAAAAAGCCAAAATGTACCACTTTGACCAAACGTTTGCGATTTATTTTAAACAAGCACATTAGTTTACAATTTAGTACAAAACGGTCACTTTTCCTTCCTGGAGAGGTATGAAACTAAGTAAAAAAAACCAAACAAACCAAACCAGAATAGACTTGAAAGAGTCAAGTTATTGAATTAAAATAAATAACACATTTAAATTACTGAACCGTTATATTCATTATTTTCTACACTTCATATGCAACGCGCAGACCCAGACAATACACCTCGGACCTTCAGTTAAGATGGTACCTCCCATCCGGTCTGCACCAGAATAGCAAGACAGATACACTGATGGAAATTAAAAATCAAGGGTTCTCAGGAATAACTTCATTAGGTTTCTTTAGCACTTGCAGCTTTCCTTTCTCTCCTGGCACATTCCACAGTACTTTTATTTTCTACGCAGGTGTGATATTTCCTCTTCAAAAACACCTGAAGAGCAAAGAAGGCTCCATGAATTACAAAGGGCCACAATATCCTTCTTGGGAATGACTGCCCGCAGTATGCTATGATCCACAGACGAAAGCAGCATTGCAGAAAGTGCTGTGGCACAACACAATATACGAACAGAACCTTCAGGATGGAGGAGATGGTGGTTTGAGACGGTTTTCAAAAAGGAAGCACCTTCTTGTAACTCACCCACCGATAACGCACCAAGGCAAAGCAGCATCTCAGATTCCCCAACGGACATAACGTATCTTTACAGTCAGAGTACATAAAAGGATGTCATTTGTCATGATAGAAAACAAGAATAAGTAAATCAAGACTGACACAACTGAGTTCAAAGTCAAGAAAACTTTTCCAGATGAGGTCACTCAGGCATTGAAGTGAAAGCCTTGGCCAGTTAACTGACAACAGGAGTTAGAGCATCAACGCAGATAACCAACATCCTAATTTCTCGCTTTTACACTCTTCAGAAAAACAAAGCAAAACACAACACTGGAGGTTTCCAGTTCATTGTCATGTTTCCAGCAGAGTCACAGCAACATGAAAATTAATAACGTGTAGCAAAAAATCCCCACCTTATTCCAAACCCGTATCTGCTGCTGTTTTACTGGCAAAATCATCCCTACAAACCTTCAAATCCTTGTGTTTTCATATGCAGATGAAAAGCAGCAGAATGAGTCAAAGCTGACAAACTCGGGTCTATATATTTGCTAGAGTTCTAAACAGCAGCAGTAATGACTGATTTTCAACTTGAAAACCTGCAATACTGACAGCAGGAAATTCAACAGTCCCACAGCAGCTGGCCAGATTTTCCAGCTCCAATACTTGCTATGCTGCGGTTTTGTGTTTTTTTTTGGCGTTTGGGTGTTTTTTTTTTTATTTTAGAAGCTAAATGTCCTTGCTTGTTGGTCAATATCCACATCTCCCCAGATTCAGTCATTTAAAAGTTGCCCAATTTTCAACACTAAATTTGGGAAATTCTGGCTTTCCTCTTAACTAACCTTCTCCCAGGACACCTCACTGGATTCCAGCACAAAGCACGCGGCACTGACAAGCCAGCCTGGACCACCTTCCACCACTGGTTCTCTATCATTCTAGTTACTCTACTTAAAGTAACAATAGTTACTTTAATATTATTCTAACATTAAAGGCCAGGTGCTATAATTATAGGCAGTCTTACAAATTCTAAAAGAGATGAGACTCCTGATTGCTCCTTGTGCCAGAGCTCTTGAACAGCGAGGGTCCTTTAAAAGGAGAGACTGACTTAAATGTCACAGACTTAATGTTAAAATGAGAGATAATGTGCCTCTGTGCATCAGACTAACAGTGTCGTGAACAGAGATTTTTCCTCTGACACATTTACAACAACCACAGAAGGTTATTGCTTTATGCGTATGTTGTCTTGATAAACTTAAGGAACAAGGGGCAGTAAATATTTGAAGCTCAATTTTCTTCCTCCGACAGGAAGCTGCAGAAACTCGTGCCAGAAATGTTCGGTTTTGTGAACAAACAAGATTTGATTACATTAAGTTTTTGTGCTTTCAGACCACTCTTGTTGCTAGGTTTTAACTTTTTACGCCAGAGCAGGACACTCTAACAGTACAAATGCAATAAATTGGCCAGGGACTACTTATTCCTTCTCGCATAACTGAAGAGCTAGCGAACATTCAATTAAATTAAAAGTTGCAAATGTAGAATTGAAAGGAAAAGCCTTTTTATATAACATAATTAATCTGTAGAACTCACTGCCACAAGAAAACATTGAGGCCAAAACCTATTAGGATTAACTAAAGATTAGGTAATGGATAACTAGAACATGCTCAATTACATTGGATAGGATTATAAACTTCACTATCCAGGACGTGAATTATCCTCCACTGCTAGGATCAGAAAGGAACTCCTACTCTCACGGTTTCTTCTAATTGCTGCCAGCCAGGACCCCAGACAGATCCATAAAGGCAAGTGCCATATTCCCAATTGCTACCACATCCCAGAACAGAGGAGCTCTCGGACTTAACCATTAGTTAAATCCTTCTTGACCCAAACAGAGGAACACTCCAGCAGAAGGGCAGGAGAAACGGGCTGTACTTCCAAGTACAGGACAACTTTACAGCTAGCAGGTGATAACTCTCTGTGAGCTCAGAACTGGAAATACCCAGTGAAGTGTTCATGCCACCTCACAGGAAGAAAAATTACTATATTGTAACAAAGTTATCCAATATCACAAGAAACCTAGTGTTTCCAGATGTGTACGTTTGTTCTGGCACGCTGATGCAAATCTCACTGTCCTTCACTACAGACAGTGTTCCTCTTTACAGGAGTGCATCAGAACTGGCTCACATCTGCATGACAGTAATTACCCAGCTACTTCTCTGGTTTATGAATGAGTGAGATGAGTGATCTAATGCTCCATTAACACACCCACTAGAGGAGCAAATAAAACACTGGGTCTGAGTCTGCCCTTGCTTCCATCTAAACACCATTAAAATGCATGACAGCATTAGCAATCTGAATCAGGCTGCTTATCGAGGTACAAACTGCCCCAAAACTCTCATCCTAGCAGAGACATACACATCCTTGGCTGGAATGCATGGGAGAACGGAAGGCTTATTTGAACATGTAATGCTTTCTACTTTAAATATGCAGTGTAAATAATTGAGAAAGTCACATAGGCTTAGAATTGATTTAATTGGAATAGAATTCTTATTTCCTGAAAAAAAAAAAAAATCAGAATTCTCGCTTCTCCAAATGAAGCAGCCAAGGTAACAGCATAACTGTTCGGTACTCTGGTAGGCAAAATCAGCTCTGGATAAGGTAAAAAAGCCTGTCCTGAAGTACACAAAACAATATCCAATTTCCTTCTAAAACCAGGCACAGTTGATTGCACAATGTCATGTTTACTCTGAAAATGAGTAAAGGGTCTGGGCGGTAAGTCATGGAAAAACCTTAACGGAAAAACGCAGTGCTTGCTTCCGTGGGCGCCTGACGACAGCACTAGGTGCCGCAGTTAAAGACGAGGGTTCTTACAGCGAGCTCCACATGTTAAGCTAGAACACTCAGGAAATGACTTGGGAAGGATGGGCTTTTAAACAAGGAATGCTGTATATAAAATCCCTGATCATAAATATTAAAGCTGTATCTGGTACTGAACAGCCACATACAACGAAAACTTTGCTTCCAGATTTAAACTTCTATACGGACGAACGGTGATACTTCACTTTCCACCGTTTGGACCTCATTCGGAAAAAGAAGTACATGACCATTAAAAACAAGGATGAAGCTACATACAGTATGACACACAGACTCATGTCTATGTTTGAAAACCCAATCCCTAAGAAAGACACGGACTGCTTCGTCTCTTTAAGGTCAGCGGATTCAACCGCGCTTTTACCGCTATCTTTGACAGGTCCAAGGTTTGCTATTAGCTTATCTAACACCTTAGATTCAGAATCTAGTGTGTTTTCTTTATCCTGGATCTTATTTTCTCTGTTTCCACTTGGATTCTTCAGTAGGCTTTTGTCTTTCACCTCCCTTGTATCTCCCTGTTCAGGTTCACTGAAGTCAGTCTGGCTTTCGGTGTATTTATACAGAATATTTTCACTGTTATAGTGATACTTCATGAACTGTAGAACCTGGGCTTCGTTCCAGCTGTGTAATCCTTTGATTTCTTCATGACATGCAGGACAAATGTCTGGAGTTGGCCACTGAACTTTGGGAAATTTTGGATCTTCAGTCAAATCACCTAATTGGGAGGAGGGAAAAAAAGAATAAATCGTAAATGAATGAACTAGGAAAGCTGGACCATTGGACACTTCACCAGAAGCTGCAGAGAGCATTTTCCACTCATAAATAGTGAGGTTGGCAAAAAAAGCCCACAGCACAATAATGTTTGTATTAAACTGAAGACAATCATAACAAATTTGGAAATTCATTCGTTTCCTTATAGATGCATCAATTATGTTCTGCAGTATTGCTTCACGTTTCAAAAGACAAACACTAAATCATAGTTATTTTCCTTTTCTCTCAACAAAAGCTGTGGCACTCGAATTCTAACAAAAGAAGATACTACAAGTGCTATGTTTTTAGAAGGCACGAAAACATCATCACCCTCTGGGCCTTTCATGGGTTAACTTGAATTATGGTTCAAAACAAACTGCTCTTTTGCACTCAATGCTCCCTAATCCTGAAGCCTGGTTTGCAGCAAGCAGTTTCAAGGCCAAAGACTTGCAGATATTTTCCTGTTTCTGGACTGTGAACCACTCCATCCTAAGCTCGATTTTTCACAGCTGGCATTATTACTACAACAAACTATTTTCAGTACTTTAAGAACCGTTTTCCGATTTAAGATGTATTTTTCAGCATCTTCGCTTTTTAGCATTTAAAAATATCACGCTGCCTTGAACTAGATCCAATTTTAACATTTCAGTTGCTCACAGCTCTGACCACCTTTCAGTCTTGATGGCAAAGAGCTGAAGTCTGTAACCAGCGTTGCACTTTGCTCTGAAAAAATAACATTTTAAAAAGTGGATGCAGATAATTTTTAGAATAAAAATCTCTACCTGCTAAAAAAGCTAATTTATTTAGCTGATTAGCACACTAACGCTTCAAATATTTCAGAAACAGATTCTTATTTTATTATGATTTGTATCTTTTTTAAAGGTAGAAAACCTCTCCATGACTTTGAGCAAAACATTGCTTAGGGATTCAAAGGATGCTTAAAAATATTTGTCCCCTTGATATTTACAAGTAAGAGAGCAAGTTTGCATCTCAGATATCTTAAATAAAGGTCACTTAGTAATCAATTTGTTTCAGCAGAGAAAGTAGAAATAAAACATCTCATGGGAAGATCAGCAACAGAAAACTTACTGTACTTCATGTTTTCCTGCCAAAGAGAAGAACGCTATAAATTCTGTACATTCCAAAGCAACAGGAAAGAATGACACAGGGCAGAGCCATATACAACAATCTCAGGACCCACACTTGAAGGCTGTGCCAAGGCGTTTTCATTGACCAGTCAAACATCATTTCTCATTGACAGCTATATATAGTACCAGAAATAGAGAGACAGCTTTTAAGGATTAAAATAAGTCACTGTCTCAAAGAGAAATTTTAGCAAACTTAAAAAGCATCATTTAACATCATTATTTATTCCAGTGTGTTTATACTTCTTACTAAAAGGGTATTTTAGCTGGCTGTTGCATCATCTAAATCAATATCCATGGGAGTTTTCCAATAACTTAATGTTCTAAATAAGTAGACTGCTCCACTACTTAGCAACTGCAAGTCAACAGGACTACCTTCTTCTGTGTTCCACCTGGCAATGGTAACAAACATTAGAGGATGTTCTTATTTAATACCTCATAATTTACTTTTTTCTCCCTGGAGAAAGGAGATGAACTGTTTATACTCACAACAGTATTTAATACTTCGTACATCTTAGGAATTCAGCATAACTACAATATAAACACAATGTAGCATATTTAAATTGTAACTAATGCTACATTACACAGATCCATAACAGCAGACAGGGATTAAGCACAAAGAGAAACCAATTTTCTTTAGTGCTTTAGTCACTTGATATCCCCATAACAGAATGGATTAAATACAACCCATATTTTAACGGTACTTTTAGTCGAACTGAAAACATAGCAGCGTAGTGGGGGAACAGATTTTCTTCATACAGTAATTTTATTTTATTCAGTCGCTGATCTGCTAATAGTTTAAGGCCCTTTTATCCTGAGAAAGTTTTCTGTTCAATTATCATCATTTTCTATCTCTCCAGAACAAAACAAAGACAGGTTTTAACATCTCTTCAAACTGTTACAGAAAGAAATTTAATTATATGTTATCCACCGACAAGGAGCTGAACTGTACTGCTCCTTTTTGAAAACACTTTTGATTTGTACTCCAGAAAGACCCTCTCATCAAGCAACAGGTGAAACCTCAGGAGCAGCAGTATCTCTGAGAAATATGACTTTTTTTCATTATATACCATAAAAGATAACTATGTTACTGGAGGACAGTGTATGTTTCTCACTCATACAAAGGTCAGCATGCTGGTCTTTAGAGTCGTAGTTACTGGGACGCTCTAGGTTTGGCTCTATCCGTTGGTACACCAACGTAAAGGTGGCATTAGCCTTTTGAAGTCAGTATTTAATAAAGGAATATCAAGCTGGAACAACAGTTCCTGTTTCAAACTCATTACAGAGCCTAATTTGCATATCTTTGTTCAAACACAAACCACGTTGTATAAAATGCCACAGCCTTGTCTTCCAGACACAGCTGCATCTGACGGGTTTTCCATACCTGCAAGCCTGTTGTTCACTACGTTGTGTTTCTCCCAGAGCCAGAGAACAGCCTTGTCCAAGGTTTTAACAGAATCCATGGACTCTTTAGCCATTTCTTCAAAATGCTGAGCGCAAGCCTTGCATCCAAAAAAGTGGTGGATGTATCTCCGCATGATCTGAAGGACTATTTGAGGACTGTCTTCAAGACCTAGGAAGACAGATGATAGATGCATTCAGCACCATCTGGACAAACACAGCTTCAATGTATGAGCTTTAACGTACATACGAGTGAACCGTGGGAAAAAGAAAGGAAAAGTTGCTGCCTTCTTGTTCCATGTAAATTTACACCTTCACTTTAGATATAAGAAACGAGCTCCTTCTATAAATTAAAGATCTCCATAGCACACGTGCCATCACACAGAATCTACACCTCAGTAATTCACAAAGACATTAGCAGCATTAAAAGCTTCACACAGTTTTTAGGAGAAATACCCCTCCCCAACGAAATACATATTTAATATTGTCACTAAGTAGTTGAGACATTTTTTTAATCATTGCCAAAGAATTTGGTTTCTAATGTAGAGTTTAAAGCGATCTCAAAACAGCACGTTTCAAAACATCCTGTTTTGAAAGGCTGTCTGGGACACCAGAGACAACTACAAGGGAATTAGTTCAAACACACAAAGGTTCAAAAAAAATGCTAGGTGAGCAATAATGTTATTAAAAATGCAAAGCAGCTATTTATACCAACACACACTAGCACATTTAATCTATAAAATTGTGTTCAAAGTTACCCTGAACATCAAAACAAGAGTTAAAGGTCAAGTGTTCTTTACAGTGAAATTTCCCCTTTCAGAGATTATCTTACAATTTGAGGGGGGAAATAAACTCAGCTAAATGAAAATCAGACTTTTTTTTTCCAGAAGCCCATTATGAGAGTACATTTTGAAATTGTTAAAACATGCAAAGTCCACGCTGTCCGTTTTTCCACGCAGTTCTTCTGGAAGCACAGACTCTCTCCAGCATCTTGTCCAATAACTAAATAAGTATTTGTTACTCATTCACCATTACATTTAGGCTCAAGCTCTAAGATATGCTGGCCTTGCTACTGAAAAATCAAGAGTCAAAAACCCTCTGATCAGTATTTCACAAGGTGTCTGTGGTATCTGTTTGTTACTCCGTTAACTCTGAGGTATTACAGAATTCCACAATCTCATGACAGTTATTAATGCCACAGCTTTTTTGTCAGGCACTGAACACATACACATAGTAGCTACTTAGCAACATTTGAACTTTCAAGAGTAACTCAGGAATTCCTCCTAAAATAAATACAAACACATTATTATCTCTATAACATTCACACTTTTACATTAAAGATAATGAAAAAAAAAATCATTATTTTATTCAGAAGTAAGGAAAGGTCTTTACAAATTGAGAACTTTGTCCTGGGCCTTTATTGTGACAGCAGGTGGTCCCTACATCTGTAAGTGGCTTGAATACCTGATATAATTCATTAAAATCCTAATGGTTTCGTCTCTGTCTCACAGATTTTCTGATTCATGCTTAATTGACCTAGTAAATTATGCCAAAATCTACTTACAAACGTACTATATGTTACCACAAACACACACTTGTCAAGGAAAACACACTTTATGATGCAGATTGATCAAATTACTGACTCCTGCAGTTGAACACCTCTACCACGAGTAATTTACAACGGTTCTGTAGTGAAGGGTTACGGTGCTTTGCTCACTGTCCTCTTCTGGTAGTGAATAACAAACACTTTGGTAGCACGTATGCTGTCTGTATGTGCACTGTTTCTTGGAAAAAAAAACCTCAACAAAACCTATTCAAAACCATCAGAGTACTTACCCGTTATAAGAAATGCATGAAGATTGTCATGAACACCTTGATTTAAACCAACAACATTATATTCCTAAACATGGCAGAAAAAACACTCTTTAAAGTCAAAGAGAAATCATAAAACCCAAACAATCTCTACTCAGACATTCAGTATCTGTGATTGAATAGACATGTATAAATAAAAGCTACGAGATTAAAGCAGATTAAATTACAGTATTAAAAGAAAGGCTGAAAAATAATTTTGGAAAGTTGAAATGAATTTCAGATAAAACAATTTTACCATATAGACTAAAATATGTATTTAGAAATAAAAACACAACAGAAGTAACTACTAGCAAACAATCTCTTTATGGAGGAAGAGAGATTCATACACAAATCTGATTATATGTGTTGTCCTGTGTAATGCTACACTGCCGAAAATTCATTTTTGTGGGGAGGTCTTTCAAATTCAGCAACAGATTAAACAGAACTCAGATAATTTTTTTAAAAAATCCACAAGCCTGTCTTATTCATACCAATAGATTCTACCACTTAAACCCACATTTGATACAATTAAGCATGCTCAGGACTAGATTTCCACACTGATTTTGCACACCCTCTGATGTGAGCAGTTCTGCTCAGAGTTCCTTTGGATCCCCTTCTGCTGATGGCACTGCAGGTTCAGATTACACCGTGGACACGAAAACGTGTCGAATATAAACCAATAAAAACATTACATCAAGAAAGCCATAGCGAGCTCACAATGACTACCAGACTCTGCAAGAAGAGGAAACTACCAAGAAAAATACAGCTGCTTTAAAAAGAAAACAAACAATTGCAAAATGGCTCATTTTGTTTGTTTTTCTTTTATCAGCCCAGAGATGAATCTTCTGTTAACATCTGCCATGTATCATCGTGTAATCCTCCTTTTCTCTTTCCTCCCAAACTACTGCAATTCAGGGTAACCCTAATCTTTAAAGTGGACAAGAACCATAAAACCCTACCTGTGGGGGGAAGGATTAGGGAGTACATCATGCTTTTTAGTAGATGGGATTTAAACAAGCAATAAGGAGAGGAAAACCTCCCAAGACATAATCCGACAGTCTCAGACTGACCCAATTCTTTCGCCATAAGAAGTGATCATCACATATCTGTCCCGATTTAAATCGATGGCTAAGTGTGCCAAAGAGTTTTCAGGTTCTGCAATGTATTTTTAACTTCAGACTGACTAGAGCTCATGCTTCAAACATGAGAGCAATTTAAGATGCAATTTTGTACAGTTAAATACTAAGAATATTCTTACTTTTAATTAGAACACTCCTGGCAATTGGAACAAAAGGGGAAATTTAACTTATGCATGATCCTGTTGAACAGCTAATATATCATCCAGTATAAAAAAAAGCCCCAAACTCACCAGGCAGAGCACAGAACTAAATTAAAGGGATTCAGCCTACCATCCCACAAGTAACAAACAAAACAAGAGAAAACAAAGAGAGAGAAAAAAATCAACAACAGGATGATTAGCTATCAAAAAAAAAATCCCTATTCTGCAGGAGATTCAATATCAAGAATTGAGATGTTTTCACTGATTGCAAGTAATGCTGGATAAACATTAGGTATCTATAATTTGAAATAAAATATTCTTTTTTAAAAAAACATAGAATCAGCAGCTGACAAATTGCAAATTTCTGAGTGTTATGATCTAGTAACAATCTAGCATTCTTATATTCCCTGGAAAAGACATTAAAAAAGGCTTTAAGTGTAAACTAAATAGAACGATAACCAAAGCACTGTCCTGGCAAGAAAAATACCATATGAAGGCCAGTATTTTAGCATTAGTAATTCTATTTCCATTGTGTGAGGAAAATAGATTATATATCCAGCACATTTCTTAAATAGGAATCATCAGCATATTAACAATATTATCATCACAATATTAATGCTTCTTCACAAGATGCTGCAAGTCTAAAAATTAAGCAATTTTACAGAGTGCTGGCAAAGTAGCATATCACTGCGCAGATTAATGGACACTAGGTACATTCAGCTGAAAAAACCCCAGTCAGAACGTTCAGTATTTAAGAAATAAAATTACAGGATTGGCTAATGGTTGCACAGCTTTTATAGCTACTCAACTGTACGGTTAAATCTCACTCTTCTCAAATTAAATTAACAAGGCAGCCTCAGGTAACCTGCACAATCTTCCTCCCTCTTCACGTAGTTCAGAATTTCTTTCTTTGAAATTATCTCCTTTTTCTGCTTTGTGGCTCACATCTTCAGGGCTGCACACTTGATGTACCACATTTCTAAGCGAGGACAAACCGACAGGCTTTCTTTCAAAGCCTTCCTGCTGCAGGAAAGCGATGCTCTGACCTCTGCTGGTACAAACCTGAACCTCGAAAGCCACTGTCCTCCACCACTGTATCGTGCATTTACGCACAAAAAAATTTGCTTTAATCTGTTATTTTTTCTATTACACAGAACTGCTGCATGTATTTCTCTTGTCCTTCAAGTGTCTCACGTAACTGCTGCTTACCTGTATTTATCAAAGCTTTGGGTCGCAGCGCAGCTTGAACCGTTAGGGTGTGAAACAGCTTCCAAAGGGAACAGGAATAACCCCTCAGCTCTGGTCGGCTGCCCTGGCATCCGACCCACTGAACTTTCTTAGGGAGAAATATCCCAGAAATCTGAAAAAAATATTATTTAAGATATAAGCAGTTCTGGCACCTAAGTTCACCACTGATGATAACAGCAATCACAGTTGATCCTACCTTGAAGTTGAGGTGATCCAAGGATAAAGAACAGTAAACTTGCTGCTAATGAATGCTTAAGGGAAACAAGTTTTAAACTTACAACAACCCTTAAGTCTGAGATACTCTGACACACAACTACAAAACCCATCCTGCTTGCAAACATGTTACATGACTTACAACATACAGTCCCTGATGTCGAACCTACTAAAATGCATATCACAAATGTCTAATTAGTCAGACAGAATTCATTAAGTAGCTTAACTCATAAAGGCTTTTTTAACCACAGTATGAACACAACACACACAAATACTACTGTGACAGAGCTACAGTTTCCCCTGGGCACATAAAATTCCATATTACTCAGCAAGATCCACATGACTTACAGTGGTAAAGCCTTAACAGGCCAAGCTGTAGAATTCATTATTATTTCTTCTTAAAACAAAACCACTACTTATTCATTATATCTAAAATCCAGTGCAAGATTTTGGTTTCTGAGACTTAGCTCTCTGCTTCCTAGAATACACAGGAGGTTTCCGAATTTCAATTCCATTTCACAGGAAGAAAGACTCACATCAACTTCTGTACAAAGCCAGGCCTATGACAGGGTTTTGCATTACCAAATGAGATGGGATTCCTAGCAAGTCCTTTACTAGGCCAAGAAATTAAAGAGTATTTGGGGAAACTCTTCAGGAATAACGCCCATTTCAGTGAGTAAATTTCCCATCACTTAAACTCTGACCTTCGAGAGAATCCTGCTGACAGCAGGCATGGCAAGCAAAGGCAACTCAAAAACATCTGCTGGGAATCTTGCATCATTGGAAGTGGACATTAGGGAACACGTGTATGTCGGTGATTGCTTGCTCATTATAAAACTGAGACAGGATTGTGTATTTCAATTCTCTCACTTCAATTCCTCCATGTGGATTTTTTTTTTCCTGGTAATGATTTCACTTTATTTTCATTTTAACCTTCTTATAACTCCATTACAACTGAGGGACATTCAGTAAGTGATGTCTTGGATTTAGAGAGAATCTTATCCTTTACTAATGCTGTATTTTCTGCTGGAAACTAGTAACAGCTTACCCGCATTTTGTTGTTGACCAGATCTAGGATAGCATCATAAGGGATTTTGTCTAATGGAAGGCTCACCAGCCACTCTTGCAAGGTCTCTAACAACTTTACCACAGGCTGACGGCCAGGAAAAAGCTGAGGGGAAAAAAGAAAAAAAAGAATAAAATGCCCAAATTTTAAAGCACAAATCTCATTAGCAGTAAGACACTTTTGTCTTTATCTAAATTGTGTTTTTCCTGTCTTTAAAACGCTTCACATTTTCTTTTGTTATGAGCAAATCAATTCCTTGTTCTGCTTTCAGTAAAAAGCCATCTCACACTAAATTTTGCTTACAAAATTTACCAAGTTGCACGCACAAAATGTTAACCAGTAAAACAACAGGCAGAAACGCTACAGAACAACTTTTGACAGATTACGTATAATTTTGCATTAAGGTAATTCAGCTCAGTGTATAGCTCAGGAAGGAGTATAACACTCAAGTGAATCAGAGAGGCTGAAATCCTTCTTACTCTTAGAAGATTAATCACAAAAATTAGTTCTTATAAAATATTTGTTCACATTTCTGTAGAAGTAGATGATGCTTGTTATCCAGAAGAGCATTTTCCCTTTCATACGTGTAATAGTGATTTCCAAAGTGATTTGGAAATACTGACTTCCTTAACTTGCAACTTAAAGAAATCAGAGTCTGGCAGATGAGTGTGAGGAACTGCAAATCAGAGGTAATGCCATTATTTTACACTAGAAATGCTATTTTGCTTTAGTGATGGCTATAATTACTATAGAATTAAGTAGAGTGTGCATACCATCCTCTAAGTACCCTTCCAGAGGGAGCAGCATTTCAACAGATGGGGAAATAAAGTCCTTGTATCTGCTACATTAAACACATAAAGCAATTTATGAGAGAACACGCTCTACATACGCTAGTCATTCTGCAGCCGTTGTCCAACTCTTGATAATATCTCTAATTCATAGAACACTTACTTGATACTACGCAAATCTAACGGGCAGGAACTCCCTTTTGCCAATTGTCTGTATTTTATCTAACACAGGGACCCTGTGCTCTGTTTTGCTTCAAAGACAACTCTTGAATAGTCTGTAAAAAAATTAGCACACCTCTGAACTACTGACTGGGTACTATAATTCCATTTACACTTGGAGGAGCCCCAGAATATCATGCATTACTATCTAAAAGACAACAGTATCTCAGGTAGGTGTCAGTCTTATCGAGGATTCAAAAACATAACGGACTTCTGCACGGGTCACCAAAAGACCTAATTCTAACAACAATGAAAATTCCCCAAGCAGGGAACCAGAGACCTCTGTGACTTCGGATTTATCATCGCTATAAACGCTGTTACACAGGAGGACAGTGTAAAAGTTTTCTAATGGAAACACCTGAGAATCACGAACGAGAACTACGAGGAGAGCACTAACACGACCAGAGAATGCCAATAAGGGGGAGCAGCCCCCACTTGTACACGGGCAGTCTGGAGACCAGCATGCGACTAAAAGAGAGCATTCCCCGTTTATGCACTAATAGCTGGGGAAGCAAATGACATCAGCTGGCCAGGAGCCATCAGGAAGGACAGAGGATGTTTTAGGGATAATATGATGGAAAGATTACCACTACACTTTCTTAAAGAAATGAGGCCAGCTAGAGATTTCTGACCTCTGAAGGCCACGGGGGGGCAAGGAACTGTCTGTCTGATTTTCAGATAAATCCAGATATTTGGAAATAGTTCATATAGGCTGTCTTATTCCCTTACACAGATATTGATTCACTTTTTTAAAAATAAAATGAGGCGTTAGCTGCTCAGTACGTAAATTGGTCATTTCAGTAGGCTGACATAATTTTTTTTTCAAGTTGTGTCACATTATATGCCATATTTCATATATGTATCCCTTCACTCAAATGTAATGTTTAAGCATCTTTATTAAATACTCAATTAAATTCAATACCTGAATTATATTCAAAATTTAGACAGAAGTCACTTATATCTCCAAATAGAACATAATTTGTCAAGTATGCACTAACGATATCCAAATATGAAGAATAAAAACCAAAGTTTTTTTTAATTCTACTCAGTTACAATGGCTACTTATCCTGAAAATCTGATAAATGGACTATATTTACAGTTTGTTCAATACGCTGCCAACTACTTAAGCTTTTTTTAATTTTGGGCCCTGTGAGATTAAATTAAAATGCATTTCAACCCTGTCAGTATGTCAGAACAGCACACAATAACTCAAAAATAACATTTAAAGAAACCCACAAAGCTATTTTTTAAGCTAGTGAGGAAGCATATATTTAAACATCCTGAAAGACATTTTGAGAGACTTATGTCACGTCATAAATTTTATGTTAGAGTCACTTCATTCTTACAAATAACCAAAGACTAGAAGCATATACCTTGGCAGAGACAGTAACAAAATCCTTGAAGGTCTTTAGCTCAGCTCCCTCAAGCGTCTTGTGCGTCGCCAGCTCTACCCTGAGCAGGTAATGCAATCCCGACTCAAGGTCAGCCATGTACAGCTTGGATCTGAAACACACATATATAACGTTATCAAGTGGCAGGTTTCTTTCGCTCATTTTCTCACCAGTCATGAAGGTAAAATTGATATATAGGAGGTGTCATTAAAACCTCAACATTTGCCACTCCACAGTGATTGCAGTATATCCTACACCGGTATGGGAAGACACAGCAGTTACTTCAGGTGCTCAGTATGGTGAATGTCAAGTTCAATGAGTTCCACTGAACTCTCTTGAAAGAGTAATTTAATGTCATTTTCTTCAGAGTTTAGATAAATGAAGCATAACCACACACAAGAATTTCTTTTCTATTTGACTCAACTTTTTGCGTCTCAGCCAGCTTTACCTTGTAATGAAAATTATAACCCTGACATTGCCAGCAAGGAAGCAGCTAGTGTAAAGAAATTACAGCTTCCCTTCAGGATTGACCACAAACAGAAAAATGAGATGCTATGAAAAAAGGGAGACTATGTTGAACAAAAGTAGATTATATATGTACAGCTGGAGTGCAAACAAGACTGAAAAAGGTCAATGTTGGAAAGGACTGAAACTAGAAATCCTCTCCCAAATGCTGTAGTTTTACTGTAGGTTCTTTGCATACAAGTTTAACAGTCAATTTTAATCACACCAGCTCTTAAGACAGAATTAGGAACCTTATGACAGGTAAAAGTAAAACAAATGAAAGATTTTAAGAGTTCTCACAACTATCCTCATAACAACAAAAAAGACTTTACAAAGCATCAGGCAAAACACCCTGTCTTTCAATGCTTTCAGAGTACAAACTCTAGACAGTATGATCCAGAGCAATGTAACCAAACAAACATAAGTTCACATAGTTAACAGAGTTAAACACTTCTTGTAAGAGTTCAGCAGCACTATCATTTCCAAAAACACATAGAATCAAAAAAACAATCTTTCAAGAAACTGGCTGGCCCTACCTCTTAAACAGCATGCAGGAAATAACATACTAAAACATAGAATACTCTATATTCTTAACAACTCAAACTATGGACTTACTCTGAATTTACCTCCTTATTTAATAAGATACTTACTTTTAAATTTAAAAGAACAGCAAAACTCCGCTTCGAGTTTCTTAAATAGAGAGCCACCCATGTGAATGCATGAGGTTCCCCCAAAGAATCCTATTTAGAAGATACTTGGACTCGAGATTCACATCAACAAGATTTTGCCTTGTTGAAAAGCAGCTCGATTTAACTAAGCTGTTTTGATAACGGAATGCCTCATATAAAATATTTTATAATAGTCATTGAAAGAAGATGACACTAATAGCGTCCATGAAAGGAAAATAAGTACGAAAGGAAAGCACTTAGTCCTACATCTTTTCCATCTAAAGATGCTGAGGGATCATCTCTCTGCAAAGCCTTTGCATCCTTCTCTCAAAGAGGGAAAAAACCTTACTGGATTTGGTATGATAAACATCTTTTACAGTGACTTTAGTATTTTCTATTACACTCACATTTGACAGTCACTTTTTAGTGAGCAATGCTTCACTGCTATACACATACAAAATTCTCGTTTTCTACAGAAATGTTATAGCTTGTTATTTTACTATTTATTTTTTCCAGGGACACTGATTACTTGCTAAAGTTTTCCAACAATCCAAATCAGTGATCTATATACTTCAGGTACTGGATAAGTCCTTGGTATTTTTAAGTCAATTAAGTATTTAACAGTACTTTTGGAGAAAAACATTAGCAGCGCAGATGCTTGTTAATTAATTAATTAAGAAGTTGTAACCTTGATGCTGGAATTGGACTAATTCACAAGTGTCACCTGAATATACTGAGAAACGGAGGAAGCTGAAGCGACAGCCGAAAGCTTTGCTCTCAGCTTTGATGCCATAATTTCTCCAGTGTTAAGCACGATGAATGCCTTTAATTTTACTAAGCAGAAGAACACGGATCATTCAGTAGTAACCAACCTATTCAACTCAAGGTGCATCACCTGGGATGGAATGAAGTACAATTTTGAACTGCACTAGGATTTTATAATAAATTACAGCACAGCTTCCCACACGGCAAGAAGAAACTGCAAGCCAATTTTAATAAGCAAGCATTGATCTGAGAATCGAAGGGACCACTTACTTATCAAACTCTTTCCACACCTTGATTTCTTGATTTTCTTTGTTTTCTTGAACAGGTAGCTGAAGTGGCAAAAGAAGTTTTTTTCTTACACCTGGCAGTGACTTTAAATATGAAGAAAAGAAAGACCGTAGAGGCTTCAAACTGCACATAAAGGGACAGAGTAAAGATTACTTTTAATCTCAGATTAAGTGCATGCCCAAAAGCAAATCAGCGTATTTATAAAATGAGATATTCACTTTGGTTTATGTTTTCCAGTCCGAGTGCAACACATTATGTTTTGATACCAAGTGAAATTAAACAATGTTCAATTTAGGAATAGTAATAACAACCATTTGGATTAGCGGTTTGAAATTCCATTCAAAATAAGAACACATCATGTTCATCAAAATGTCAGTTTGCCTTACACAGGCAGTATTCACGTGGAACAAGTATTTTCACTCAGAAGCATGTTTTCTAAGATGCTTCATTATTTTTTTTCCACTTTTATTCCAAAGTGTTTTCCTTTCAGAAGTATCACAGTACCAAGTTAAAGCTATAAATACGCAACAGTGGTAAGCAAAAGTAATATTAGGTCTCTTATTAAAATCACACGTAGTAATACTAAATGGTTCATTAAGAACCACCAGCTCATTGCTCTCAGCAGATCAAACTCCAAACAACCAACCTTGGCCTAGAGCTTTTATTTCCAGCTAGAAACACCGCTTCAAATCATCTACTTCACAAGCGAGTTTTGTCAGCAGTATAAATGTGTTACTGCAGCCAAAAGACACAATTATTTAGCCACCACACCATTTTGGCTAGTTTTCCCTACTAAATGATGAAGTCTAACTTCTACTGGAATACTCCACGTCTGTGTATTACAAGCATTCCCAAAGAGTAAACTGTATAACAAGACTGGCAGATTAATTAATAATTGCTAGAGAGTATTGAAGACAGGCGATTTTCAAACACAAAGAAATGGAACACACAACTTCAGTCAGTACAAGGTGCTGATTACATGCCAGAACACATACTTTGTACGAAAGGAAGCTATGGAAACTGGTTTTGTAGCTTAAACAAACCTCCCCATATTCCTCAGACAGTTACGTACATGTTAATTAATCCATGGGATCCATTTGCATGTATCAGATAGCATGAAGGGACTGAGGTAACACCAAGTTTCTCAAGAAGAGGCTTATCAAAATTCAACGCTCTCTTTACAACGATGTTTTCGTACTGGATCAAGTCTAAGATCACCTGGGTAACGAGATGACATGAATTACACATTGTTCAAGGAATATACTGGATCAAGTCTAAGATCACCTGGGTAATGAGAAGATGACATGAATTACACATTGTTCAAGGAATATCCAATCTTGTAGGAAAAAACATATAAACAGGTGAAGTGCATCATCTTTTAAGGGCATCATTAAGCTCTTCACCAACAAAGTACATCTATGAGTGTTCTGCAGACACTAGTGATTTCAGTTAAAGATTTACTCTTCTCTGGAAATTATTTTTTTTTTCTTAGTCTATCCTGATCTTTCCTCTTTGAAGTCTAACATCTGAAGAAAACCTAAGAACGAATGACAAAATGTCCTCATAAACCTTAAAATAGCTCAGAGGATATTCTACAGGCATCAACAGTTTTATGTTTCATGTTATATATGTAAGAGTCTAAAGGTAAATTTTCAGGTAGTGAAGAAACATTGGTCCCACCGTTTTACGGCGTTCTGATGTCAAAGCCCATTACATGGAAAACAATTAGGGCTCTGCAGGAGTTCAGGCTTTGCCTGGCAAGCCCTGCCAAATCAAGCCGTGTCGTCTGTGGTGTCACAGCACCCAGCTGTCTGTTCAGCTCATGTTGTTCACCAACGCCATAGCAGAGACTCCATACAGGGACAGGTGCCCATATCTCAAGAGTTCCACCTCACAGTCCAGCATCTCAGCTCAAACCAATCCTCATCAGCTGCTTAAACCTGCTGCTGGGCTTCTACACTAGAGTGGTTGGAAGAGGGTACAAATTTCTTTGCAAAGTGTAAAATTCAACCAAGGGCGGAGGAGGCAGAAGAGGGTGGGAACATCAGGAGGCCTCAAAGATTTGCCAGGAGTCAACTATCAAAATTCTTGACCAACTACAGGCAAAGCTGCACCTACAAATATGACGACGTGGTTACAAGTAATGAAAATTTGCTACGTAAAAAAAAAAAGCCTTAAATACTAATTTCTTTCCTTCTTAAATCCTTCAAGATCCCACTGCTAAAGGCATCCTCATTTGCCATTCTAGTGGCCACACTCCTCACACCCTTCCATTAGCCTCTGCTCTTATACTGCCATTTCAAATGTTCAATTCCTACCTACAAAACCATCCATGCTTCTGACACTTCACTTACATTTCTACTTGTCATGTGTTTGCTTTTACCGCTCTCTGCATCTTCTATGTCTTTCTCCTGTTGTTAGTTTCACAGTTTCCACTACACTTTTCCCTTTCAGGTGAATATTATCTGTGCTATGTTTTCCCTCACTTTCAAACTTGTAATTTAAGAGACCCTTCTTTCCATCAGTGATAAACGCATGGCGTTCCTTTCTTCAGCTGTTGTGACTTCTATCAGGTTTGTCTATACTGTTTCATATTGTAAACTTGAAAACAATGTTATTTTCTATTTCACTAAACCATTCTATAAAGCTAAAATACTACATAAAATTAACAAACATTTTTATTTCTGAAAGCAGACTCCACTTTCTATTAATCAGATGACACTCAGTCTATAACAGCAGGTAATAAAATTAAAGTGAGTGTGATAAAAAGCTGAAGAACTTGATAATCATCACATTTCTTCTTTTCAATAATGCCCACTTGTACCAACACAGCAGCTTCCAGAGAACAAATGTCTGGAAGCAGCCTGCTTCCCAAAGTGATTCCCACTTTTGGCAGCACACTCTCCTCCACTTATGCAACTGGGCCATCTCAGCATCAAATCTAATTAGAAACATTTCACAGACATTGGATGTTTCTACACAGATTATGCCTAGATAATTATGCAATTTATTTTCTTTACTTATCCTAGATCTTGGCAGGAAGAGAAAAGTAACAGTTGTCTAAGCTAACAGCAGGCTCATTAGGTGGTGAAATGATGCCAAATCAAATATTTTATTGAGGGGGTGGGGGAAGCAAAAAACCAGACTTCCACTTCCTCACAACTGTGAAAGTAATTTTATGCTATCCTGTCAATTTAGAATGTAATTTCCTAAAACCTATATGTGAAGGAAGAGAACTAGAGAATTTAGATTACTATAAACAGTTGAAATACCAGGGATGCCCAGAAGAATGAATATTATGAACAGTTCTCTAGCAGTAACAAAACTGTAACATAATCTGACAATTATTCTATGATTCTATGACAATTTAATCTGACAATTCTTTTGTTGCGATCTTCCAAATCTTCAAAGAAAAAAGAATTGCGCTAAAAATGAAATTAAAAAATTAATCTTTCACTAAAATGTGAATGGAAGAAGTTAACATGACATCAGTTCCTCTGTGTGACTAAATACAACAGCCCTATATAATCCTTTGACTTGGTGATATCTCAGATATGCATGACCTGCCCTTTATGACCCTTCAATTCAGTCCTATAATCAGAAATGTTATTGCTTGGCTAAATAACATAAAATTCAGCTGTGTCATGATGACATTCGTTCGTATTCACTATGTCATTCCGAAGTCACACATTACCTCTCGTCCAACATAGGAGTTATTACTTTCAAACACGATGGCAGTATAATGGTGGCTGTTCTTCTCAAAAAGAGAAGTAACATCACTGGACCTTTTAAGAAAAGAAAAGCTATTTAGCACAGACAGAACGCAAGACACCCACTGTTACTGATGGAATTCCCCTTTACAATCTTGTAGCAGAACTGATAATAAGAAAAAAGCTTACTTCACCTTTAACAGGACCTTCTACATTTTATTTAATTAACACAGTAAGAATAGACCAGCTGTATCTTAAACAAGGAACTTACGAGATTGGCTCCAACGGTGGGCACGCAGGCGGTCTCAGCTCTTGGGAATGGTTCTGTAAGAAGTCAATCATCATCTGACGAACTGTTTGCAGCTCTCGGTCTGCTCCTGCTGAGCACAGGTTACAAAAAAACCACACCACTTCAGAAAACTGGGAAAAAATTACTCACATGGAGGTTTTAATACATTCTCATGCTTTTCTGTGTCAGGTTTTTGTTTCAAATTAGGACTTAAAACCCAGGATACTATTTGGCTGAAGAACAGGGACTAAGCATGTAGGATTTCATTTGAATGTTGAGATGAGATCACATTAGAGCTGTCATCCCACCCCAAAATTAATAAAACCTCCAGACTTTTCCAAATATAACCATCTGCCTGCCTTACTGATTTTCTCTTCAAACAACGCTTCATTCTAAATCTGTGCTCATTTTCACAGCAGTTGGTGTGGGTAACTTCAGTAACTTTTTTGCAATAAGGGTATTTATTCATCGTGCACCATTCTAACCAAACGGGCCAGATGCAGTTACAAAGCCACATAACAGCATGAGGAAGTAACTGAAGTGTGAGGATATTTTATTTGCTTTAAAAGAAATAAACTAAAAAGCAGAAACTCTCACAAATGCCAAAAAGTAACAGGTACCACTACGGTGTACTTCTACATGAAGAGTTAATGCTGCAGGTGGTCTCTCTTCTGACCTCTGGCCTTTTAAAAGTTAATCCACTGAAAAAGACAACATTACTGTTGTCCCCAGACAAACCAGCTCAAGCTGTGATCCCATCGGACACACGGGATAAGCCTGTTTTCAGTCGGTTGGCATCTGAATAGAGGTCCTCCCAGTGAGGTTCAGGATTTCAGGATGCCCGGAAAGTGGCTGACAGATCAAAAAGCACCAGGGTCAGGATTGAGCAAATTGGATCTCATGCTAACGAGGTGTGCGGTAGAAAAATGGAATTTAAAAAAAAATACCTAGAAATTTGTGACAATTAAGAAGTACAATTCAAAAAATGAGGAATGTGAGCCCTAAATTCTTAAACAAACGTTTTGCCTGTGTAAAATTCTGCCTGACATTCCATTTTCATACAGTACTTGTCATGTCACATATCTTAGAGAGCTGGTTAGTGTCCATCCCATCTCTGGCTGTCTAAACTAACTGACAGGCAAAGGGATTTTGCTTATTGTGCAACACGTTCCTGGCTGATAGGATAACTGCTTTGGGGATTTCTTACAGTAGGATGTTCTTACCTTTGTAATTTTCTCCAGTAGTAAACTGCTTTGTAAATGCTTTGAAGAACTATGTGGGAGAAAAAATAGTATTATTGCTTTGAAAATAACTCACTGCATAAGAGAAAAGCTCAGTTTAGAAACAAAAATGGCTTTCAAGAATTTTTACTTTTTCCAGCTCTAATTCCAAATCGTATTTATCTATTTGTTCAGAAAACAGTTTTCCCTCTCAGCCCATGAGTTCCAAAGATCTGCTTCTCAACTATACGAGGGTAGCTCACAGGTACCAGCTGATACTCTGATACACAATAAAGCCAACTTTTAGAGGAAAAAACCCACAATGCATAATTCAATACTGTATATTGATCCATTGCTGCAAACATTAACCCAAACATGAATTAACTGATTACCAAATCAGTGATACCAACTGTGTATATACTTAGAACACTATTCATATCTTCTCAACTCCCTCCAGTGGTTAAACAGGATATACAATGGAGCTTGACTATGTTCTGCTACAAAAATAAAATAGAAAAGATGCAGTGTCTAATGAAGATTGCATTCCAATTTGCACCCAAAACTTTAAAGATTAATAAAAAAAAAAAAGTTGTTCTTTCTATCAGGGTAGAACATCACAAATTCTACAGTGAAATGTCTCCTGTTTCCTCTCCTGTCATAACGAATACAGTTTATTCAATCCTCTTCATCCATCCCATTCTGCTCACACTTACAGTTAATTAAGGTGATTATACAGATTGGCAAAGACAGGGAAGATAAAAATTGCACTCAGATCTGAAAATGAACAATGGTAGATACTTCTGGCAAACACGAGATCCCTTTTGAAAGCCAGTTTAAGCAAATTAAGAAATTAATCAGGAAAATAGTAAATGATCAGTTAAGGGAAAACTTTGGTCATGAAATCAGCTGATTTCATGATGCAATTTCAACGTATTGTCTTTACTTTCACCTACCGAAACCAAAACACCTATTAATAATCACGAACTTTTGAATTTGAAAAACATTCACACAAACTGTTTTTATCCAATGAATATACCACAACTAGGTGTCATATAAACGTAACAATACAGAACTTTCTAGAATGGGATCTTCTTTCAATAAGAATTTTTCAGATTCAGAAGTGAGGAATTACTGCTATAAACAACTGCATTAGCTATTGCAT